AATGGTTTTGTACCATTCAGGGTGTAGCTCTACCCTACAAGGCACAGGCTTCTGTTAGCATTAACAGACTGTTTTTCATTCATCAGGGCCTTGTGGTCCTTTTAGGAGGCAACTCCTGTCCTATAGCACATCCCTTTCCCCCCTCAAACCAGCTCCCCTCAGCCATTGTTTATTCATACAATGGTGTGTGTATTTGTGGCTAACTTGAATGGATCCTTCTAATTTTTTCTATATTAAAAACACATAATGTTTAGTTGATTTTTTTTTTACTTGACTGGCTCTTTAAAGACCCAAGGGGGCCTTGGACTTGACTTGGTGCCACTTAAGATAATTTCACAGTAGTCAAGAGGTAATTTCATCAAGAAACATTCTGAGCTTCAGTTAAAATGTAAGAGCCTTTTTTTTTTAGCCCCAGGATAAAATAAAATTTTATTTGCTTTTATTTTTCTGCAATAATGCCAATAAGGAGATATTGCCAAGGGCACAAGGGAAGCCAATTCTATAGTTGAACAAATCGATGGTAAATCTACTTGCCAAATCCTAAACATACCCACTGAATGAGTGTTGTGAAAACATACATACACACACACACACACACACGCTGAACTATCCAGGGTAAGGATGAGTTCCCCTAAAATAACTTAATCTCCTATTACTAAGATTCTCACATTCTCAAATTCTTCACACATAAAGTGGGTTAGTTATGCACAGTTATGAATTGAAAGCACATAGCATCTTAATTATTAATAACAGATAGCATTTACTGAGTGATAGCATTTACTGAATGGTGACTCTGTGCCTGATTCCATTCTAAACACTTTAGTCCTGGAAGCTGGTGCCATTATTATCCCCATTTTTCAGATGAAAAAAACTGAGGCACAGAGAGGGTAAGTCTATTGCCCAAGGTCTCACAGCTAATGAATGGCAGTCTTATTTCAAACCCCGTATTTTTTTTTTTGTCTGTACACTGTATTGTCTCTTGTTGTATCTTCAAACTAAATATAGGATTCCAGAAAATACTACACAACTCTAAATGATGATGATGATGGCAACCAATTACTGAGTCTTTGTGTATAGGTGCTATGGTGGGCTTTTCTTTTTTAACATATCCCATTTAATCTTACTAATCTAGGGATTTAGATTTTATTATCCTTAGTATATAGTAAAATTGAAGTTCAGGGAGCTCAAGTAATTTGCTTTAGGTCACAGAGCGAGTTATTGACTGACTTGGGAATTCAACCAAGTCTATTGCTAGTGCTCATTGCATTGCCTAGCTTCCACACTTGCATGAGTTCCTAATTTGGTAAGTAAAGAGAACTAGATTATTCTTCTCAGCACTATAATCGTCATTATAAAATTCATGATCACTAATTACCAATAGGAAGCTTGTTATCTTCCCACATCAGAGAGAGGTTGGGTATAATTTTAAAATACCTTAACATGGTAAATATATATATATACACTTTGTGGCTTTATAACTTAGTATTTCTGTTAAAACTAATCACTCTGTAGAATAGTGTCTGACTTTTGAATTAAATGCAAATGAATGGCAGGGTCAGAAAGGTATAAACAGTGAATGACTGCACTTTTTCCTTCATATTTGCTCATAATTATTGATTGGGAAGGGGAAAGAACAGAAAATAAACATCTTAAATAAATCAAGATTTCCCATTCCTTTAAATTTATGGAGATCCAGTAGATGGAAACATAGTCCGATTCCAGACAATAAAAGCAAAACGACAAGTCCCAGGTGGTGGGATTTCATGTTGAGAGTTGAAGGCCAAGAGTCTGAAGAAGAAAAGTCTCCCTGTGAGGAGAGGCATCTGCCTCCTAGGCCCCTTGCCCAGCAAGCACACGCCACTGGCCCAGCCTGCCTCGTTACCTTAGAAGTTTGAGGATGAGGTTCTGGTTTAGGAAGGTTAAGTCACTGCCCTAAGTTCATATAACTAGAAAAAGGTGATGCCTAAACCTAATCCCAGGCAGGTCTGAATTCAGTCAGGGCTCTTGGCTATTGGGCCATTTCACCTTGGTTTCTAGGTAGCCAAGAGACTCTTAGGAGTGGAGATGGCTTCTCTGTAGGCTTACCTCACCAAATTATCAGTGGAGTAAACATGCTTTTCAAATGTTCACTTGGATTTTAATGTTATTACTTCTGGGTGCATTTTCAAATATGAAAAATGGTTAATATAAAAAACTTACAAGAAAAGAATCTCTAAATATATTTCTGGGTGCATTTTCAAATATGAAAAATGGTTAATATCAAAAACTTACAAGAAAAGAATCTCTAAATATAAGAGTTTTCTTTTTGTACCTTTTCTGGGAAAGCTCTTTGGAGATTTTTAAGGAATTGAAAATTGGCTCAGTATAGTAGTCCTATATTATGCAGTATTTTGAGCAAGGCTAATTTTATTAACTTGATTACAATATATTTTTACTTTTTGAACCACATTAATACAAGCCAAAAGAACACACACTGAGCAAGTAATTTTTGCCCTTCTTTTATGTTGTAATTTGACCACTTTGTAAGACCTGGATAGGTCTCTTTGTATCAACAGATCCAGGCATGTACTTTTTTTCTGAGAAGATGATTGTGTTTATATTACAAAGATTAAAACACACACACATAGTGCTACGTGAATGTGGCCAAGTCATCTACTTAGAACTGTAAGTATCTTGGTCGCTTCTGGCACTGCGGGGAAAACATGGGGTCATTGGGCATGTTTCTAAAACTCTCAGACAAGATTTCATGAGTGGGCCCAGTTGGCATGGCTCAGTGGTTGAGCGTCAACCTATGAACCAGGAGGTCACAGTTCGATTCCTGTTCAGGGCATATGCCCAGGTTGTGGGCTCAATTCCCAGTAGGGAGTGTGCAAGAGGCAACAGATCAATGGTTCTCTCTCATCATTGATGTTTCTATCCCCCTCTTCCTCTTCCTTCATCTCTGAAATCAATTTTTTTTAAAGATTTTACGAGTAGGCAATATTAATTTCTCTGTAAATGTATCTTTTTTTTATTTTAGGAGGTTTGTGTACTATATAAAATCAACTATTTTAATACAGTTTCTAAAATAAAAAATTTAAATACAATCAATGTCTATTCACTATATGCAGAGTATCAATCAAGCTTCTACTTTGAAACTCATTTCCTTATGGGTAATTATGGGCTGGGAGAGATGGGAGCAAGCAAGGGCCAAACAAAGCAAAGGATGAAACTCTAGCCCCTGGTAAGGGGATGGGTTTGTAATTGCCAAAATGATCAGCCATTAAATTATCAGAAGAACAAACTCCTAATAATCCTTAAGGAATTCTCTCCACCACAAATTCTCAAGTGGTGGGGCATAGTGGTACATTTTACTTGGACACTGGAACAGAAAAATCAGAGGGAAATACACATCAGTGGATCGGGTTTCTATCGCGCACTCTTAAATTCTACCAGCGGCCTCGCAGGAATAAATTGGGGTGTTCTATTTTGGGCATAACTCTAGGAAACAGCTTTTAGGATTGACCTGATCTAAGAATGAGTTATAGATATTATAACCAACTTTTCCTCCACACCAATACCCGTCCCTCCAGAAATCTTAATAGGCTTTTGAGAGCCCCCATTTAGAGCCGCTGCATAAAATGATACTTTGATGAAAAGGGATTGGAACACGGGTTAAAGCCGACATTGAAAGGTGACTGTGGAGGGCACGGTGTTCATACAATCCTCCTTTAATATGTGTGGTGTGCACCTGTGATAAGATGATTCATTACCTGGGGCCGCTCTTTGACAAGCTCTATCGTTCAGCCCTCGGGGTTCTGACGGGACAATCCTGCACCCGCCCAGGAAATATAACAAGGTCAGCTTTTTTTCCTGTGACCTAACTGGAGATGGTTTAGCTTATAATGCATCTCTGTTTACTATTTATGTAAAATAAAAGCAGGGTTCGAGATATCACAATTCCCGTTCTCCACAGAGCAGGCCAAGCAGGGATGCATAAACTCACTATCAGCTAAATAACTCCGGGAGGAAAAATCTTGGAGAGGGTGCAAGCTCCTTCTCCCTTGTGTGTCATCACCAGAAATACTGTTAATAAAGATTAAAAATGCATGTAAACTATATTGTATATATAAATACAATAATACCCGGAGAAATAAGATTAAAATGGCGAGCCTAGGAAAAAAATAAAAGAAATGGTAACATTTGAGACAAAGTGTCAGGCCTCTGAATGGAGGGCACCCTGACACCATCAGCTTCAATTCTGGTTTGTTTTTCAAGCAGCTTTTATATTAAATGGGGTTTTGAAGATGGAGCCACCTCATCTTAAGCTCCATCAGTATTTTGGTGACCACAACACTGGCACATTAGTGGTGTAAGGGAGCGCGCGTACTGCTCAGGACATGAGGAAGGTTTGCTGGCCCGGCAGAGTGAGCATACAAGAGACCACCGAGCTTCCATGAGAATCAGCAAGAAGCTAGGCATGTGCAGCCAACTGGCAGGGGGCTTCACTCTAACTCACCCTTTTTCTTCGATTTTTTACACAATTTTGTCAGTCTTTTCTGATCACCTCCCCATACATTCAGAAACTGGCTTGTCATGTCAACTTATTAAGTTTAGAAATTTTAGAGCAGTTAGAGAAGGAAACTTACCAATTTCCAAAATTACCCAAGTTTTAAAAGAATGAAAAAATAAAAAAGCAAAACCAAAATTTTATCTTTTTTTTTTTAAAGAATACCCTATTATGAAAAGTTAATTTCTTCCATTAAGGTCTGAAAACACGTCACCATATAGAAATAAAAACACAATGTGACAGACATTCTGGGGAGAAGGAAAAAGAAATCTTCCTTCTAAAATATAGAAAAACCTCCCAACCCTTCTCCCATTCTTGACATTGCTAGTAAACATTATTTATTTGCCTCATATAGATGTGGTTACATATCACTGTCATGCAAAAGAAATTCATTTCCTTTCCGAGTTCAATCTGCCATAAATATTCACTCTTGTTCCCATCTCCCACTCACCTGTCCTTGTGCATTAGTAACTAGTTGACCTGTGACCCCCTGAAGACTGGAGAGGGCATTGCCAAAGGCCTGTGAGCTTGCTATGGAGCCCATGGCTGCTGCTGCCGCAGCCGCTGCAGCCTGACTTGCTAGTGGATTATTAACCAGCTGCAAAGAGAGAAAAGATCAGGGTGAAACCACCGAGAGACGCACAGGTACAGCACACGAATACAACATTCACCGGAGGGAGAAAGTTCTCGCCCCAACTAGCTCATGCAAAGGGCCCGGAACCCACCAGAGGGGGCCTGGTGCACATTCCCTCAGAAGCTGTGGGGGTTGGGGGTGGTTGGAAATGAGGCTGGGAGAAAAATATTCTCCACCAAGACTAGGGTGCTTAACGGAGCCTGGGTTTAGGACTAGCCCAGGAGAGAGTGAGGTGGGCCATTGGGATCTTCCTAGGTGGGGAAATGATTTGGGAGAAGTCCCTGCCTTTTGTCCTCTAGACTAAATAAAACTCGGAGGAAATGTCCACTTTCCTTGAGGGAACCAAACAGAATGTGGGATTAAAACAGGAGTAGGAGCGAAAGAGAGGAATATATTTTTTTTGGATTTTTTCAAATAAATTGATCTTTTTCATTTGGGAATTGCGGTTTCTTTTAGGGTTATCGGGTAAGGCCGATGGCTCACTCCACCTCCTTCTCTAAAGAAGAAGGAAACCAAAGTCAGCAGAAATGGAAACCTCCAACGTCTGTGCTTTCAGAGGGTGAGTCTAGAGTCCCTTTTTGAGGGACTCACCCTGACCATGAGATTCAAGGCCAATGAGAAAGGTCCTATGGTGAACGGTCAGGTTGACATCTGCTTACTATTTTAGCTGATATATACTGTTCTGTTGGCTTCTTTCCTGGGACAAGAGTGAAATAGAAAGAAGAATTTGATTTGGAAGGAGGGGGGCACTCAACGGGGAGGTTATGGCTGCCAAAATCAGTTTTTCATGGAGACCAATTCAATATTCTTTATCCTGCCAATTTTCCACACCACAGGTTTTCAGGCCTTCTGACCATGAGGCAGAAGTGTAGCTTGAACTAAAATCTGCATTTAGGTTAATGACTAGATATAAATTCAAGAAATATTATAACTATTTTCACAGTATTGGTTTTGATACATGAATTTCATTTGTATTTATTCTAGGGTGTTATTTTTCCCCATATAGTTCCTCTCAAGTACAACAACTGTTGTGTGTAGCAATGCATTTTCCATCACCGGTTCCCACATCCATGAAATTCCTGCATTTTAGCAGGAACCTGCCAAGACTAAGACTTGGGAGAAAAAGAATTAATGCCCATACTTAATGCAAGGCCTGGAAGCTCTTTGAAAGATGCCTCTTTCTTTCTTTCTTTCTTTCTTTCTTTCTTTCTTTCTTTCTTTCTTTCTCCATCCTTTTCTCAGTCTCTTTTCTTTCTCTCTTTCTTTTCATTCTTTCCCCCCCAAAATATTTCATTATTTAATCACTTTGAAAATTTGCCTAGAATTTATACCATTTCACAATGAAGAAATACTAGTTGTCAAAGGAACATAAAGAAGAATAGGAATTAATAATTCTTTCTTCATAAATGTGATATTTTTATCTTATTGGTTTCTTTATTTATTTATTACCAATTTTTGCATAACTAGTTCTACAGTAATCCCATTGACCTAGCACATTTTTTAAAAATGGAAATCCATTTTAAGCTCATTCCTTTATGTCTTTTGCCTTTATCTCTCTACTAAACGACAATAATGATTTTCTTTTTAAGGAGAAAAAAAAATTCTCATTCATCAGCCTAAAGAGAAACCCTGTCTTATGCCAGATTACCACCATGAGATTTAAAATTCAGGTTGCCTTGATCTTAGTTTTCTGGGTATATTTTGACAGTGTATATGAGGCAAGAAATGGTAATATTAAGAGAGAACTCTTTTTGCTTTTGGCTTGACTACCTAAAGTGATAAAGTTCATAGTGTGTTCATTTTTCACTCATAAAGTAAAGAGATCCCTTGAGGAATCCCATCCCCAAACTGCCAGACAGGGACTGCCCATTGGTATACTCGTCTCAGATAGTCTGCCAGCTGCTGGGTTGACATTTCTTTTATGTAATACAAGTTGAAATCATAATGAAATTCCCGAGTTTCAGGGAGATCTCAAAATAATCTTCTTAATCCTCAAAGAAAGATTAAATTATGTGGAGTTTGGTTTTAGTGTTGAATATACAATTTTGGATGAAAAATGTAAGTCAGTATACACTGAGTGGCCAGATTATAATGACAGGCCAGATGATTATGACCACCCCATCGGTGCTTCATTGACACTTCCAAAAATACTGAATATTGAAAACTTCCTAAGCAAATACTCCCAAGGTTTTATTATTATTATTATTTGCATAACTAATTCACTTCATTGTACTGATGGGGTGGTCATAATAATCTGGCCGGTTATTATAATCTGGTCACTCCGTGTATATGGAATTCTCTCTGAAGAAAATAGATGTGATTCCTAGTTAATGAAGGGAAAATATTTTTAGAAATTGTAAGACATTTCTTAACCTCTAGGTCAATCAAAAATTCACGTAGGAAATTGTGGAATTACTCTCTGGATACAATACAGCCGTGCAGAGTGAGAATTTCCCACACTTAGGACACTTGTGTGTTGTTCAGCTATAGTCCCATGTATTTTCTGTAAATACAGGCATTATATAAAGGTTAAATTATTATTCTAAATGTAAAACCAAATAGATATTTAACGGTTGACTCTGAGCCTTTGTGTAATGGGGCCAGGAATGGGTACCTTCTGCTTTGGAAGACTGCTTCAGCAACCACAAATGTACAGATTTTGTTCATTTTTAATGTTTATTTCCTCTATATCTGGGCCTAGATCGAAACCCAATTTGTTCCTTTTTGCTGCCTTTCATTCTTAATGGTGCAAATGCCAACTGGATGACTTATTTCCTGTCTGGCATCCCTAGGTCTTTGTGAAAAGCGCGTGAGCTCTCGGGAGATGCCTTGCTGGCCCCTGGAACTAGAGCTAGAACTACAGGCGAGAGAGCGTGGTGTATGCAGACAGTGGCTACAAGTCAATCTGTAAGCTGACAGCATTTCAGGTGGACCATTGGGTTGTTGATGGATACAACTTGATATCTTTTGGCTTTTCTGTCTGCAACTGCCAAGGCAGGGATGTTATATGCAGAAGACATGTGGCGAGGAGGGGGGAGGGGACGGGGGGGAAACCACAAGTGTTCTCTTCATCACCTCGGGTCATGTCACTCTGTGTTGTCCCCAGTCATGTCATATTAGCAGTGCTCCTATCAACGCTTCCTCTTGATTGGAGACTCGGGGTAGATTTGGACAGCGGGGCGCCCAGGCACAATAAATGCACATAATGAGCATGCTAACGTTCTGGGGTCAACTGGATATTGTGAAGTTGCTGCCAAGTTTAGGCCTTCAGATCTTTCATTGCCAGTGTGCCTGACCAGCCAAGGATGGCCCAGATAAAGTCTGACTGCATTACGTACTTGCATTTTCAACAGACCAACTTGGAAGACATGCTGAATTCTAGTGCATGCAATTTATAAACGCGGAAGATCTCAAAGCAAGGATCTGCAGGGGGCCAGAGTTCTCATGTTCCACCCAAATGGATTCTGGCCTGTGAATACATTAAGCTATAATTCGGAACCTTAGATAGTCTAAAAACCTACTAAGAGAAACATGGATTTCTTAAGATACCATCTCCCAAACTTCTAGGGAAGAAAATAACAGAATAATTTTTAAAATAGTTTTGTTCAAGTAAGGAAGGACCCCCAAACCTCACAGAGCCATGTCTTCCATTCATGCAGTTGAAGGCATTGGCTCTGCAACCAGACTGCCTGGGCTGTGACTTTTAGTAAACCATGCCTCCTTGTCTCATGGGTAAAATGGGCGTAAAAAGAGTATCCATGTTACTATGTAGAAAAATGGAAAATGTTCATGATATAAGTGAATGAAACAATACAAAATGAAAAAAATATGCATTTAAAAATAGCAGTTATGTCAGGTACACGCTCACAGAGTAATGATGAGAATTAAGTGAGATTACACATGCAAAAGTTTGAGAACAATACTTTGCACATATCACATTCTTAATAAATGCTCGTTATTCTCACAGTTCATATTATGTTTGAGGCTGTTGAACTGATCAGTTTATCAGAATTCGAATTCAACTCAACAAATATCTTTCTACTTTTGAAATATTGCAAACCCAGGTATACTCTCTATTTTTATATTTTAACTGTATTCTCTAATTTTGCTGTACTTATTTTTTTAAAAGTATCTTGATTTCAGAGAGGAAGGGAGAGGGAGAGGGAAAGACAGAAACATCAATGAGAGAGAATCATTGACCAGCTGCCTCCTGCATGCCCCCCACTGGGGATTGAGCCCCCAACCTGGGCACGTGCCCTTGACCGGAATCGAACTTGGGACCCTTAGGTCCGCAGGCTGATGCTCAATCCACTGAGCCAAACCGGCTAGGGCACTGTACTTATTTTTTAAAGGGTAGCTTAAAAGAAAATATTAGCTAACTAACACGATTATTAGATGAGGTGAGTTTCATGATTAAAAAGACAAATAAGTTGGTTAAAAATATTGCAGACTGGCCTAGCCGGTGTGGCTCAGCGGTTGAGTGTCGATCCAGGAACCAAGAGGTCGCTGGTTCATATCTGGTCAGGGCACATGCCCAGACTGCAGGCTCAATCCCCAGTAGGGGGCGTGCAGGAGGCAGACGATTGATGATGTTCCTTTCTCATCAATGTTTCTATCTCTCTATCACTCTCCCTTCCTCTCTCTCTCAAAATCAATAAAACATATAAGAAATATTTCAGACTGGAGGACATCATAAAGAAGTATTTTAAAACATGATTTCTCCTGCTTGTCTTGGGCTTCTCATATTTGATTATTTATAGAGAAAATGGTGTTTTAATTTTGAGGCCAGGGTCAGTATGTGACAGACCAGCAAGGGAAACGTCCTTTCTAGTACATTATCCACACACTTAGTTGACATTTGTTAGATTTCTACAAGGACACCCACTTTGGAGTTTGATTTGCAGTTTCTACATCAACATATCAGCTTAGTTGACATTTGTTAGATTTCTACAAGGACACCCATT